GAATGGAGGAAGGCAAAGGAGAGAGAAGAGAGAGGCTCAGAAAAGGAACGAGAGAAAGAAAGAGTAAGAAATGGTAAAGATAGATATAATGATAGAGAGAAGGAGAGAGGAGAAAAGTGCAGAGAAAAGGAAGATCATGTGAAGGAGAGGAGAGAGAAATATGGTAGTGATGAAAAGAAATACAAGGAGAGGAGAGAAAGTGATGCTTCTTTAGACAAAGATGGAGAGACTGATCTGGAAAAAGAGAGAAAGGGAAAAGAGAGAGGGGTGGATGAGAAAGGAAGATCCAGCTCTGGAATTTTGGCTGGGCAGAAACATAAAGCTGGAGAGGAAGGGGAGAAAGAACAAGCACAGAAACCATCTCAGAGCATGAGCAAGTTTGCCAAACGGAGCAATGAGGAGACAGTGATGTCAGCAAGGGATCGCTATCTGGCGAGGCAGATGGCACGGGCCAGTGCTAAATCTTACATTGAGAAGGAAGAAGATTAATGTCCCTGTGGAGGACAAACCACCTGGTCTGTCAGCCAAGAGGAGAAGCCATTGCTGCGTGGACTCTTGTACAGAACAAAGTTGTATCCTAGCTATTTATTCCTGACTTTCATTTAAGAAGTTGTGTGTGCCAGAATAGAAGAACAACTTTTGCAATGGATTAGTGGATCACCTGATACACACCCTTAGCCTGTTTATACAGTTGAAATATTAAATTTGTCTGACTCTGTCCACCCTGGCCTTCAGGATCTTGCCCTTGGTACTTGAACAGTTTAGGACAGACCTAGGAGTCTTAAACAGGGTCAGGTGAGAATTCCTGCCCCAAGCACCCCCCTACTTCTTCATCAGCTGCAACTGTGAGCTCTGCTGGAACAAAGGTGTTCTCAGCTCTTCGCAGGAGTCATTGCCCAGTGATGATCTCAAAATTGAGAAACAGACCTGTAAAAGTGGGGGGGAAAAAAAGTGAGAATAAAAACCCTGAAGAGTTAGCTAGGAGATTTCTGTACTGCCTAGCATTTTGTAAGCTAAATGCATATTGACATAAGAATTTTGTATTTATGTGTGGGCTTGGGACCTGATGTACAGAAACAAATAAAATATAAGATACATTCTGGATCTAATGTGTCTGTCATTTTTTTAATGCTTGTGTTATTTTACTGCATCGTTTTTAGAGTGAAATAAGGTGTATGAGTCTCTTTTCATGTATTCATATCTGCTTCTTCTGCTGGAGGTAATATTTTAGATTTGTCAGTTCAGAAGTTCACAATCAAAAGTGGTTATGTCCAAACTATAACCTGGTAAGTAGGATATCTGGTGGTGGTCATAGTTTTTAGAATACATTTTCAACCCTTTCTGGAATGGTTACTTTCACTTTGTTTTGTAGTAAGTTTATCACTTGTGATACAGTAAGGTGAACTACCATAAAAAAAAAAGAATTATATTGGTGTTTCTCTAAGATTTTGTTCAGCAGACTGAGTAATGAGACAAAATGTGAGTAAAATTAAATGCAAAGCCTGGCAGTTTACAAAAACTTGACATGGAAAGAGTTTTATGTGTAAGCTGATCAAGTAGCTAAGCACTTAACTCCAAGCATGGATCAGATTGTTTTTGCTGTCCTGTCTAAACAAGTGTGTGCATTGGCTCTTCTGTTGGAGTAGGATGAAGAGCATTTAGCAGTGGGCCGAGGTTCAAACACTGAAGGAAATCCTCAGCTTTCTGTCAGAGGCCTTGTTGGTGTAGTAAACTGGCCAAGGTATTCTGCTTTTTCTCAAATTGAGTTTTATTTTTATTCTTCCCATAAAAGAGAGGCACAAGAGGCATCTACAGCTGGGTTATGAATATTAAATTTATTACAATAACAGTTTACAGTACAAGGCACATACTGATGACTTACAATCAGCTTGAAACACTTGTAACTAAACAGCTGCATAAATTAATACAGGTGCATCATGTCCAAGTTGGAGGGAATGCTTAGTTCTGTACAGCTAAAACTGGTTTAATCCTCTGCTTAAAAGGCAAACATGGTCCTAATTTAGCAGTTTCAGAACTTCCTTTTCACTGTTCAGTAGGATATACTTGTGTGATAGGTAAGTGGAAGGTGAGCTGAAGAGAAGGAAGTTTTTTGTCTCAAAACATCTTTAAATGCAGTGCAGCCTATTTGGTATCAATGTAACAAGTTTTTGTACAAAACCAATGTTTAATGTTTGGCTACTTGTTGAACTACCTGGTAAATACTGGTTACTCTAAATGCTTTCAGGTGGATATATAAAAGGAGGAAAAAAAAATCAATGATAAAAATAAATGAAATCTATTTCTCAGTATTTCAACCGTTCAACTAAGTAGGTACACTAAAAAATGAACCTATCATAAGAAGATAAGAACACTTCAAACCAGTATGCCATATGACAAAAAAGAATGAGGACTAAGCTGCCTTTCAGGGTTAGCTTCTATAGAATGAGAGCATAGATATATTTTTATCTTTGTATTTTTCAGGAAAAAAAGCCTTTTAAATCCACTTCTAGAGGTTTTCCTTGCCCCCTGTTCCCATAAAGACCTCAGACAGAATTACCCTAGCAAAAAGAGAGCCAGGATCTAACATCACAAATTATCTTCTGCACTGTTTATTTCTAAAAATATTTTTGGTGTGACTGTGCATGTCTATGTTGCTTTTTATATCTTCAAATAATTTTAAGAGCTTTCACCCTCTGTCAGTACATCTGTACTCTGAGTGCATTATTCTTATTTTTCAGTTGATAAATTCAAGCTGAGAGACCTTGCCCTATTTTACACTGTGACTGTTGCAGGGCTTGTATTGATACCAGGACTTCGTGGCTGAATTTTAATTCAGTAGAAAACTGGCATTTCTTGGGAAGTTGCTCATCATTCTGTCCTAAAACCACCCAGAGAGATAATGTCTGTTGTATAGTAGTGTCTTTAAAAATATAAATGAAAGATGCATGTTTTACCATTTCAGATGTTGTTGTAAAAGATTAACATGAGTAGTAGTGATGAAGACTGGAGAAGCTGGGCAGGGTTTTCTGCTTTATTTCCCACACTTGGTCTTGGATACATACCAGTACCTTGTCCATCTTACACTGATGTTTCATATGTATTTTGTCAATTAATGAACTCATAACAGAAAATGTTGTATAAAAAAGCAATTAATTTTCTGGTTGATAACTTAATAACTAAATAGCTTTCTAATATTAAAAGAAGTCCCAGACTGTTCCTCTTTTTTCACAATGAAGCTAGTTTGTAAGGTAGTTTTCAAATACACTTAAAGGCTAAACTACAAAATTATTTCTTAGCAGTAACTCTCCAGTAAGACAGACTTCCTGTGTTTTCTCTGGCAATGAAAGAACATATTCCCTTTTTAAAAAATTATTTAGGAGCCTTTTGTTTGAAGAATCCTTGTCCCTTTATGTCCATATTGGATGTTTGGCTTAGAGACCTGAAGTGGTGCAAATTCAAGTCAATAGCTGAAGCATAAGAGGCCCTTCCTCCAGAAGGTGTCTGCACACCTAGAGCAGAAAGTCCTTGGCAATAGTGGTGAAAATATTTTCAAAAGGCAAACATGCCATACCTGCTTTCCTCTAACACAGGAAGCTCTTCCTACTTCAACAGGTTTTTTAATGCCTGCTGCTATGAATGCACGTATAACCTTGTTCCTTTTAGCAGTATGTTACCTAAGTAGACCATGAGATACAAAATAGACTAATCCTCTATTTTATTTTACTTCTGTTAATAGTTTTGGTTTTTACATAAATGATCCTACTTAGGTCTACCTAAACTTCTGTATAACTGCAGCAGAAGTATTGTCCTCCAGGTGACTTGGCAGCTGCAGTCAGTCTAAGGGCAGTTACATTTGGAGAGCATGTGTGTGCATGCAAACTAAAGAGGGTGGTATCTGCATGGAAGTTAATTTGCATATCATCAGTGCCTTGAAATGTAACATAAATAGTTCCGATGAGAATCA